GCCGAGAATACTTGAAGCTTAGTGCGGAGCGACAGACCAGGTAGCTTCCACACAGCGTTATGCAACCGATGAAAGGATATTGCCACTCAACTGATTCGGAGTGAGACCTCTGCTGTTAAACTGGAGCCGGTCATAAGCACACTGCCCAGGTATGGGAAACTCTCCACTCTCTCCACAACTGCCCCATCAACGATTGGGAGTTGTGGGGGTGGAGTGTCCGATGGTACAAAATACCCAGGCAGGTGCTTAGTTTTGGTGGGGCTGATGGTAAGGCCCCACCTCTTAGTGGCACGCTCCAGTCTCAGCAGCAGCGTCTCCAACTCCTCCTCCGAATGAGCAGCTATTACCAAATCATCAGCATACATAACGTGGTTGAGCAATAGGGAGCCATCCCTTGACCGCACCCGGGCATCGATCAGCCTCCCATTATATCTGTACCATATGGAGATTCCTCCGGTACAGCTATCGAAGGCTTCACGAATTACGTGGTCGAAATACATGTTAAATAATGTGGGAGCCAGAGGACATCCCTGTCGCACCCCAAGGTGTACAGGGAATGGCTCTGACTCCCGGCCACGCAGTTTTACCCGGGCCCGCTCACCATCATGAAGGTCCTTAATGATCGTGAGCAGAGGGTCAGGGACCCCGAAAGCACGAAGAACAACCCAGAGCCCAGGCCTACTGATGGTATCATAGGCCTTGACCAGGTCAATGAAGCAGAGATGTAGGTCTTGTTGGAATTCCCAACACCTCTGCTGTAGCAGATGGACAGGAAATATGGCATCTGTGCAGGACCGCCCTTTTCTGAAAATGCATTGGGGCTCCACAAGCCTCTCCTCAGCGTGCCTGGCAAGGCGATGCTGAATAATCCTTGCCAGGACCTTTCCCGGTACACTGAGGAGTGAGATGCCCCTGTAGTTGTTACAGTCTGTGCGGTCCCCCTTCTTAAAAAGGGGGGACCACCAGGGCATCCTTCCAATCCTGCGGAACCCGTCCAGTGGTCCAGACTGTTGTTATGATGTCATATAGGGCAGTCTGTGCACAAACGCCACCCTCCCTCAGCATTTCGCTTGGGAGATCATCTCTGCCCGCTGCCTTTCCTGGTCTCAGACTCCGGATCGCCTTCAATACTTCCTCAGCAGATGGAACCTCAGCCAGCCACTCACAGGGGGTGACTTCATCCAATATTTGAGGCACCGCAGCCTCAGCAGGGTCATCCTCACTTTGTGCCACGATGTTTTCCTGGCTGAGGGATTTTCCCTCCCCCAGGACCTCACAGAAATGCTCAGCAAATCTGCGAACCTGTTCCTGGGGGTCGGAGATTGGTAAGCCTCCTCATTCTCTGACGTGGGATTCTGTAGCCGATGACAGTGGGCCTGTCGCTTTTTCTCAACCATCCTGAACAACTCCTCTGTCATCCAGGGTGTCTGGGGAGGTCTGGACCGCGTACCCAAAGCAGCCATTGCAGCTGCATGAGTCACAGTCCTAAACCTCGCCCATTTACCCTCGACATCAGGAGGAGTGGGGGACGATGCCAACCCCAGTCGCAGGCGATGATGAAATTCTCGCTTGCAACTTTCATCAGATAACTGAGACCAGGCCACTTTAGGTTTGAATGGGGTCCTGGGTGTACACCCACCACCGGAGTGGAAGAATGGCAGGCGCATCTTACAGATGACTAGTCGATGGTCAGAGGGCAGATCAGCTTCACGGTAGGTCCTGGTGTCAAGGACATGGGCTCGCATCCGCTGGTCCGTCACTACGTAGTCCAGCAGATGTTCTTGCTTGGACCCGGCATGCATCCATGATGTTGTGTGGATGCGCCGATGCCGGAACAGCATGTTGGTAATTACAAGCCCATGGGCTGCACAAAAATCTAGCGGCCTCCTGCCGTTGTTATTGAGCTGATCTGGCCCATGCCCTCCAATCACTCCAGACCAGGTGCCAGCATCATGACCAACTCGGGCATTGAAGTCACCCAACATGATGACTCTATCCCGAGGGGCCACTTTAGCCAGCACCTGCGACAGGAGGTCATATAGAAGGCACCTGACTCATCAGAAACACACGCAAATACATACATACACACAAACACAGAAAGACACACATACACACCTATAAACACAGACACATATACACGCAGACACACAAACTCTTATAAACAGAGACACACACAGACACACACATATACACAGAGAGAAAGACAGAGACACATACACACAGGCGCATGTACTGTACATAGACACATTTTCACAGATAGTAACACACATACAGGTAGGCACACAGACACACACACAAACACACAGACACACACACAAACACACAGACACACACATATACACAGACACGCACATATACATACACAAATACACAGAGATAGACACATATACAGAGACACACATACGCAAAAGATCCCTCATTTAGCCGAGGGGGTGGGTGACCAGCACCACGCCCGACCGCCTTTGTCTCCCCAGTGGCGATGTTTACACATCGCACCAGGTACTCATTTGAGGCTGAGTCGACCTAGGGGAGGCCCGGGACCGGTTCAGATAATCGTCACTGGTGTTGGCCGTGAGCGGGAATCGAACCCGGGTCGCCAGGTTCATAGCGCAGCGTAGCGCTAACCGCTACTACACTACCGCGCTCCCCATACATACACACTCACATGCACAGAGACACACACATACATACACAGATACATACACACAGACACACAGAGACACAAATACACACACAGACACAAATACACAGACACACACACAGACACACACACACAGACACACAGACACAAATACACAGAGACACACACAGAGACACAAATACACAGAGACACACATACATACACAGAGACACACGCACACAGACACAAACACAGACACAAATTCACAGAGACACACACACACATACATACACAGAGACAGACACACACACACACAGACACACAGACACAAATACACAGACACACACAGACACACACACAGACACACACACACAGAGACACACACACAGAGACACACACATACACAAAGACACACACACACACAGAGACACACACATACATGCACACAGACACACACATACACACATACACACACAGACACACAGACACACACAGACACACACACAGAGGGGGTGGGTGGCCAGCACCACACCCGCCAGCCGCCTTTGTCTCTCCCGCGTGGCGATGTTCACTACCACACCACCACCACCGCCACCACCACGGCAGCAGGTGACCCGTTTGAGTCTGAGTGGACCTAGGGGGTAGCCACGCATCACCTCGATATTCCACTGATGCTGCTGTAGAGTCCTTCGGCACTGTTCCATTGACTCCATGCCAGTCAGGTCCTGAGAAACACACACACACACACACAAATACACACACACAAACACACACACACACGTGTTAACACACACACACACACAAACACACACACACAAACACACGCACACACACACACACACACGTGTTAACACACACACACACACAAACACACACACACAAACACACGCACACACACACACACACAAACACACACACACAAACACACGCACACACACACACACGCACACACAAACACACACACGCACAAACACACACACACACACACACGCACACACACACGTGTTAAGACACACACACGTGTTAAGACACACACACAGACACACACACGTGTTAAGACACACACACGTGTTAAGACACACACACAGACACACACACGTGTTAAGACACACGCACAAACACACACACACACGTGTTAAGACACACACACAGACACACACACGTGTTAAGACACACGCACAAACACACACACACACGTGTTAAGACACACACACAGACACACACACAGACACACACACACACACGTGTTAAGACACACACACAGACACACACACACACGTGTTAAGACACACACGTGTTAAGACACACACACACAGACACACACACACAGACACACACACAGACACACACACACACGTGTTAAGACACACAAACGCAAACACACACACACAAACACACACACACACACAGACACACACGTGTTAACACACACACACACACACGTGTTAACACACACACACACGTGTTAACACACATACACACACACGTGTTAACACACACACTGACACACACACAGACACACACGTGTTAACACACACACACACAGACACACACACGTGTTAACACACACACACGTGTTAACACACACACACGTGTTAACACACACACACACGTGTTAACACACACACACACACTGACACACGTGTTAACACACACACACACACAGACACACACACAGACACACACACAGACACACACACAGACACACAACAACAACAACAACAACAACCGCCATTCGCCACTAAGTGGCGGTGACGTCACCACGACGCTTGTGCCAGGCTATGTGCACCCTGAGGCCACGTGAAGTGTCGAACGCCCGCTGGCAGGAGGTCACGGGGCAGACCCAGGTGCCACGGGTCGACTGACTGAGATGACTGGCTGATGCACCACCTGTGCCCCCTACTGTGCCAACCTGCTGTGCTTTAGCCACCCGGCGCTCCGCTCGCTGTTGTGAGCGTCGCTCCTCCGCCCTCCGTTGTTGTTGGAGGGCGACTGCCTCCAACTGCCCAGTAGCATCCTTCACGAGCCTCCTCCACAGAGGCCGATCTTGACACCGCTGGTACCAGTCATCGGCAAGTCCACTCAGCTCCACGTCGTCCTATACCACCTCACTCCATCTCTTTTCTAGCCCGTGCCGCGCCCGCTTAGCCCCCTCAATCCGGCCAAACAAAAGCTGTTTCGGCATGCGGTGGCTGGGCATGCGGGCTACATGACCCAGCCATCGCAGCCTTGCCTGCCGGAGGAGCTCACCGATGGGACCCTGCCCAGATCTTTCAAGGATTTGTGAGCTCCTCACACAATCCAGTCTGGTTAAACCCAGGATGGATCGTAGGCAGGTCAGCCTAAATGTTTCTAACCGGCGAAGATGTTCCATTAGGGGGGTCCACGTTTCGCAAGCGTAGAGAAGGGAGGGAATGACCGTGGCCGAGAAGACCTGAAGCTTAGTGCGGAGCGACAGACCAGGTAGCTTCCACACAGCGTTACGCAACCGATGAAAAGATATTGCCGCTCGACTGATTCGGAGTGAGACCTCTGCTGTTAAACTGGAGCCAGTCATAAGCACACTGCCCAGGTATGGGAAACTCTCCACTCTCTCCACAACTGCCCCATCACCGATTGGGAGTTGTGGGGGTGGAGTGTCCGATGGTACAAAACACCCAGGCAGGTGCTTAGTTTTGGTGGGGCTGATGGTAAGGCCCCACCTCTTAGTGGCACGCTCCAGTCTCAGCAGCAGCGTCTCCAACTCCTCCTCTGACTGAGCAGCTATTACCAAGTCATCAGCATACATAACGTGGTTGAGCAATAGGGAGCCATCCCTTGACCGCACCCGGGCATCGATTAGCCTCCCATTATATCTGTACCATATGGAGATTCCCCCGGTACAGCAATTGAAGGCTTCACGAACTACGTGGTCAAAATAGATGTTAAATAATGTGGGAGCCAGAGGACATCCCTGTCGCACCCCAAGGTGTACAGGGAATGGCTCTGACTCCCGGCCACGTAGTTTTACCCGGGCCCGCTCACCATCATGAAGGTCCTTAATGATCGTGAGCAGAGGGTCAGGTACTCCAAAAGCACGAAGAACGACCCAGAGCCCAGGCCTACTGATGGTATCATAGGCCTTGACCAGGTCAATAAAGCAGAGATGTAGGTCTTGTTGGAATTCCCTACACCTCTGCTGTAGGAGACGGACAGAAAATATGGCATCTGTGCAGGACCGCCCTTTCCTGAAACCGCATTGGGGCTCCGCAAGCCTCTCCTCAGCGTGCCTGGCAAGGCGATGCTGAATAATCCTTGCCAGGACCTTTCCCGGCACACTGAGGAGTGAGATGCCCCTGTAGTTGTTACAGTCTGTGCGGTCCCCCTTCTTAAAAAGGGGGACCACCAGGGCATCCTTCCAATCCTGCGGAACCCGTCCAGTGGTCCAGACTGTTGTTATGATGTCATATAGGGCAGTCTGTGCACAAACGCCACCCTCCCTCAGCATTTCGCTTGGGAGATCATCTCTGCCCGCTGCCTTTCCTGGTCTCAGACTCCGGATCGCCTTCAATACTTCCTCAGCAGATGGCACCTCAGCCAGCCACTCACAGGGGGTGACTTCATCCAATATTTGAGGCACCGCAGCCTCAGCAGGGTCATCCTCACTTTGTGCCACGATGTTTTCCTGGCTGAGGGATTTTCCCTCCCCCAGGACCTCACAGAAATGCTCAGCAAATCTGCGAACCTGTTCCTGGGGGTCGGAAATTGGATCACCGTTTTTTCCCCTAATGATGGTAATAGGTGTGGCGCTGCAGGTTACTTTTTTGATGGAGTTAAATAGCGATTTGTGATCACGGGCCACTGAGGCAGACTCCATCTCCTCAGCAACCCGCGACCACCACCCATCCTTGCAGCGCCTCACGGCTCTCCGAACCTCCGAGCGAAGGCTGCGGTAAGCCTCCTCATTCTCTGACGTGGGATTCTGTAGCCGATGACAGTGGGCCTGTCGCTTTTTCTCAACCATCCTGAACAACTCCTCTGTCATCCAGGGTGTCTGGGGAGGTCTGGACCGCGTACCCAAAGCAGCCATTGCAGCTGCATGAGTCACAGTCCTAAACCTCGCCCATTTACCCTCGACATCAGGAGGAGTCGGGGACGATGCCAATCCCAGCCGCAAGCGATGATGAAATTCTCGCTTGCAACTTTCATCAGATAACTGAGACCAGGCCACTTTAGGTTGGAATGGGGTCCTGGGTGTACACCCACCACCGGAGTGGAAGAATGGCAGGCGCATCTTACAGATGACTAGTCGATGGTCAGAGGGCAGATCAGCTCCACGGTAGGTCCTGGTGTCAAGGACATGGGCTCGCATTCGCTGGTCCGTCACTATGTAGTCCAGCAGATGTTCTTGCTTGGACCCGGCATGCATCCATGATGTTGTGTGGATGCGCCGATGCCGGAACAGCGTGTTGGTAATTACAAGCCCATGGGCTGCACAAAAATCTAGCAGCCTCCTACCGTTGTTATTGAGCTGATCTGGCCCATGCCCTCCAATCACTCCAGACCAGGTGCCAGTATCATGACCAACTCGGGCATTGAAGTCACCCAACATGATGACTCTATCCCGAGGGGCCACTTTAGCCAGCACCTGTGACAGGAGGTCATAGAAGGCATCTGACTCATCGGCTTTGCCTGCATCCCTCCACGGATGTTCATCTTCGGTGGGGGCATAAGTAACCACGACCACCATTCCTCGCCTCCGGTTGATGGGAAGGCGAGCCCAAAGTAGCCTGGGGCTTACAGCTTCCCACACCTCACCGCCACGCTCCCACGCCCCCTTCATTCTTTTGTTCAAAAGAAGACCCACACCCTGTTGTTTGGCAGTCTGCTGCCCCGAGTAGAGGACTGTCCACCCCTCATGGTGGCAGGAGCCAGAGCCGGTCCACCGGACCTCCTGAATGCCGCATAGATCCAGGCGGTACCGGTCCAGCTCCCGACAGAGGAGTGGCAGCCTCTCCTCTGCAGTGAGCGTTCGAACATTCCACGTGGCCACCCGTAGTGGCTTTTCGTTGTTTCTGGAGTAGCCCCGAGGGTAGGTATTCACACACACACACGTGTTAACACACACACACGTGTTAACACACACACTAACACACACACACTAACACACACACACAGAGACACGTGTTGAGACACACCTGGAACTGGAGGAGCTTCTCCGTCTGTTCTGGAGTCAACGCCCCCTCAGCCTCCTCCTCGCCCGCAGCACGGTCAGCATCCTGCATCTTACACCTACACCTACAACTCCTGGTAGTCACCAACACCTACACCTACAACTCCTGGTAGTCACCAACACCTACACCTACAACTCCTGGTAGTCACCAACACCTACACCTACAACTCCTGGTAGTCACCAACACCTACACCTACAACTCCTGGTAGTCAACAACACCTACACCTACAACTCCTGGTAGTCACCAACACCTACACCTACAACTCCTGGTAGTCACCAACACCTACACCTACAACTCCTGGTAGTCACCAACACCTACACCTACAACTCCTGGTAGTCAACAACACCTACACCTACAACTCCTGGTAGTCACCAACACCTACACCTACAACTCCTGGTAGTCAACAACACCTACACCTACAACTCCTGGTAGTCACCAACACCTACACCTACAACTCCTGGTAGTCACCAACACCTACACCTACAACTCCTGGTAGTCACCAACACCTACAACTCCTGGTAGTCACCAACACCTACACCTACAACTCCTGGTAGTCACCAACACCTACACCTACAACTCCTGGTAGTCACCAACACCTACACCTACACCACCTGGTAGTCACCAACACCTACACCTACAACTCCTGGTAGTCACCAACACCTACACCTACAACTCCTGGTAGTCACCAACACCTACAACTCCTGGTAGTCACCAACACCTACACCTACAACTCCTGGTAGTCAACAACACCTACACCTACAACTCCTGGTAGTCACCAACACCTACACCTACAACTCCTGGTAGTCACCAACACCTACACCTACACCACCTGGTAGTCACCAACACCTACACCTACAACTCCTGGTAGTCAACAACACCTACACCTACAACTCCTGGTAGTCACCAACACCTACACCTACAACTCCTGGTAGTCAACAACACCTACACCTACAACTCCTGGTAGTCACCAACACCTACACCTACAACTCCTGGTAGTCACCAACACCTACACCTACAACTCCTGGTAGTCACCAACACCCACAACTCCTGGTAGTCACCAACACCTACAACTACAACTCCTGGTAGTCACCAACACCTACACCTACAACTCCTGGTAGTCACCAACACCTACACCTACAACTCCTGGTAGTCACCAACACCTACAACTCCTGGTAGTCACCAACACCTACACCTACACCACCTGGTAGTCACCAACACCTACACCACCTGGTAGTCACCAACACCTACACCTACAACACCTGGTAGTCACCAACACCTACACCTACAACACCTGGTAGTCACCAACACCTACACCTACACCAGCTGGTAGTCACCAACACCAACTGGTAGTCACCAACACCACCTGGTAGTCACCTCCTCCTACAACTCAAACTCCTGGTAGTCACCTTCAACTGGTAGTCACCTCCTCCTACAACTCCAACTCCTGGTAGTCACCAACACCACCAACTCCTGGTAGTCACCACCACCACCAACTGGTAGTCACCACCACCACCAACTGGTAGTCACCTCCTCCAAATGGTAGTCACCAACACCACCACCTGGTAGTCACCTCCACCTCCTCCAACTGGTAGTCACCAACACCACCTCCTGGTAGTCACCAACTACTCCTGGTAGTCTCCACCACCACCACCACCTCCTCCTGGTAGTCACCACCACCTCCTCCTGGTAGTCACCAACACCTCCAACTAGTAGTCACCACCACCTCCTGGTAGTCACCAACACCACCACCTGGTAGTCACCACCACCTCCTCCTGGTAGTCACCAACACCTCCAACTAGTAGTCACCACCTCCACCACCTGGTAGTCTCCACCACCTTCAACTGGTAGTCACCTCCACCTCCAACTCCTGGTAGTCACCACCACCTCCAACTAGTAGTCACCACCACCTCCAACTGGTAGTCACCACCACCACCACCTGGTAGTCACCAACACCTCCTGGTAGTCTCCACCACCTTCAACTGGTAGTCACCACCACCACCACCTGGTAGTCACCAACACCTCCTGGTAGTCTCCACCACCTTCAACTGGTAGTCACCTCCACCACCTGGTAGTCACCACCACCTCCTCCTGGTAGTCACCAACACCTCCAACTAGTAGTCACCACCACCACCACCTGGTAGTCACCTCCACCACCTGGTAGTCACCTCCACCACCACCTGGTAGTCACCTCCACCACCTGGTAGTCACCTCCACCACTACCTCCTCTTCACGCAGCCTCCTCCCTAAGTCACGCCACTGACCGTGTGTTACTGTCGGAGACACACAGAGAGACACAGAGACAGAGAGACACACAGAGAGACACGGTGAGACACGGTGAGACACAGAGACACAGAGAGAGACACAGAGAGAGACACGGTGAGACACGGTGAGACACAGAGACACAGAGAGAGACACAGAGACACACAGAGAGACACGGTGAGACACGGTGAGACAGAGAGACACAGAGAGAGTCACAGAGAGAGACACGGTGAGACACGGTGAGACACAGAGACAGAGAGACACAGAGAGAGACACGGTGAGACACGGTGAGACACAGAGACAGAGAGACACAGAGAGAGACACAGTGAGACACGGTGAGACACAGAGACACAGAGAGAGACACAGAGACACACAGAGAGACACGGTGAGACACGGTGAGACAGAGAGACACAGAGAGAGTCACAGAGAGAGACACGGTGAGACACGGTGAGACAGAGAGACACAGAGAGAGTCACAGAGACACAGAGACACAAAGAGACAGAGAGAGACAGAGACACACAGAGAGACACAGAGACACACGGAGAGACACAGAGAGACACACAGAGACACAGAGAGACACACAGAGACAGAGAGACAGAGACACACAGAGAGACACAGAGACAGAGAGACAGAGACACACAGAGAGACACAGAGAGACACAGAGAGACACAGAGACACGGTGAGACAGAGAGACAGAGAGACAGAGAGACACAGAGAGACACACAGTGAGACACAGAGACACGGTGAGACAGAGAGACAGACAGAGAGACACAGAGAGACACAGAGACACAGAGACAGAGAGACACAGAGAGAGACACAGAGACACACAGAGAGACACAGAGACACAGAGACAGAGAGACACACAGAGACACGGTGAGACAGAGAGACAGAGAGACACACAGAGACACGGTGAGACAGAGAGACAGAGAGACACAGAGAGAGACAGAGACAGAGAGACACAGAGAGAGACACAGAGACACACAGAGAGACACGGTGAGACACGGTGAGACAGAGAGACACAGAGAGAGTCACAGAGACACAGAGACACAAAGAGACAGAGAGAGACAGAGACACACAGAGAGACACAGAGACACACGGAGAGACACAGAGAGACACCAGAGACACAGAGAGACACACAGAGACAGAGAGACAGAGACACACAGAGAGACACAGAGACAGAGAGACAGAGACACACAGAGAGACACAGAGAGACACACAGAGAGACACAGAGACACGGTGAGACACAGAGAGACACAGAGACACGGTGAGATAGAGAGACACAGAGAGAGACACAGAGACACGGTGAGACAGAGAGACAGAGAGACAGAGAGACACAGAGAGACACAGAGAGACACAGAGACACGGTGAGACAGAGAGACAGAGAGACAGAGAGACACAGAGAGACACAGAGAGACACAGAGACACGGTGAGACAGAGAGACACAGAGAGACACAGAGAGACACAGAGACACAGAGACACAGAGAGACACAGAGAGAGACAGAGAGACACAGAGACACACAGAGAGATACAGAGAGACACGGTGAGACAGAGAGACACAGAGACACGGTGAGACAGAGAGACACAGAGAGAGATACAGAGACACAGAGAGACACAGAGACACACAGAGACACGGTGATACAGAGAGACACAGAGAGACAGAGAGACACGGTGAGACAGAGAGACACAGAGACACACAGAGACACGGTGATACAGAGAGACACAGAGAGACAGAGAGACACGGTGAGACAGAGAGACACAGAGAGACACAGAGACACACAGAGACACACAGAGACACGGTGAAACACAGAGACACAGAGAGACACAGAGAGACACGGTGAGACACGGTGAGACAGAGAGACACAGAGAGACACAGAGACACGGTGAGACACAGAGAGAGACAAAGAGACACAGACAGACACAGAGAGACACAGAGAGACACGGTGAGACACGGTGAGACAGAGAGACACAGAGAGAGACACAGAGAGACACGGAGAGACACGGTGAGACACGGTGAGACAGAGAGACACAGAGAGACACAGAGAGAGACACAGAGAGACAGAGACACGGTGAGACACAGAGAGACAGAGACACAGAGAGACACAGAGACACACAGAGAGACACAGAGACACAGAGAGACACAGAGAGACACGGTGAGACAGAGACACACAGAGAGAGACACAGAGAGACACAGAGACACACAGAGAGACACACAGAGACACACAGAGACACGGTGAGACAGAGACACACAGAGAGACACAGAGAGAGACACAGAGACACGGGGAGACACAGAGACACAGAGAGACACAGAGAGAGACACGGTGAGACAGAGACACACAGAGAGACAGAGAGACACAGAGACACACAGTGAGACACAGAGAGACACGGTGAGACAGAGAGACACAGAGACACACAGTGAGACACAGAGAGACACGCAGAGACACACAGAGACACACAGAGACACGGTGAGACAGAGAGACACAGAGAGAGACACAGAGAGACAGAGACACAGAGACACGGTGAGACAGAGAGACACAGAGACACAGAGACACACAGTGAGACACAGAGAGACACACAGAGACACGGTGAGACACAGAGAGACACGGTGAGACAGAGAGACACAGAGACACACAGTGAGACACAGAGAGACACACAGAGACACGGTGAGACACAGAGAGACACGGTGAGACAGAGAGACACAGAGACACAGAGACACACAGTGAGACACAGAGAGACACACAGAGACACACAGAGACACACAGAGACACGGTGAGACAGAGAGACACAGAGAGACACAGAGAGACACAGAGACACAGAGAGACACAGAGACACACAGAGACACGGTGAGACAGAGAGACTCAGAGACACAGAGAGACACAGAGAGACACAGAGAGACAGAGACACAGAGAGACACAGAGACACA